CTAAACCCTAAATCCTAAACTCTAAACTATAAACCCTAAACCCTAAATCCTAAGCCCAAAACCGTAAACCCAAAAATATAAATCCTCAACCCTAAATCAAAACTCTAAATCCTGAGCCCAAAACCCTTAACCGTAAATCTTACACCCTAAACCCTAAACCCTAAACCCTAAAACCAAAACCCTAAACCCTACACCCTAAAACTAAACCCTAAACTCGAAACACTAAACCCTAAACCCTAACCCTAACCTTCAACCCTAAACCCTCAAACCTAAACCTTAAACCTAAACCCTAAACCTTTAAACCTAAACTTTAAACCCAAAACCCTATACCCTTAACCATAAACCCTAAACCCTAAACCCTAAACCGTTAAACCCTAAACTCTAAACCTTAAATCCAAAAACCTAAACCATAAACCCTTAACCCTTAACCCAAAACCCTAATCCTTAAATCCAAACTCTACACCATAGATCCTAAACTCTAAACCGAAAACCCTAAATCCTAAAATCATAACCCTAAACCCTAACGTTAAATTCTAACCCCTAAACCCTACACCCAAAACCCTAAACCCTAACCCTAAACCCTAAACCCTAAACCCTAATCCCTAAACCCTAAATACTACCCTTAACACTTAACCCTAAATTCTAAACCCTAAATCCAAACTCTAAACCCTAAACTTTAAATCCTAAACATGATCTTCAAAGATATTTTCTACCTGCTCAATACAATTTTTCCCAACATCAATTGGCCTTTACAGTGGCCAGAAGTAGTGGAGCTGATTGAGAGATGCAAACATGACATTAAAGTTACTTCATTGATATGGAAAACACCCCCTCCTAACAGATATAAAATTAACACAAATGGTAGTGCTTTGTACAATCCGGGGAAGATTGGAGGGGGGGTATTCTACGGGATGAACAAGGAGAGATCATATATGCATTTGCTATACCTCTCGGTGAAGGGACCAATAATCAGGCAGAAATCCAAGCTGCCAGTTATGGTCTGAGTTGGTGCATTCAACATGGGTACAATAACATTATTCTGGAGGTGGACTCGGAGCTTTTAATTAGGTGGATATTGCAAACCTCTACTCCCCCTTGGAGGATTCAAAGGTTTGTACAGGAGTTACAAAACCTTGTTAATCAATGTGAATTCTTTCAATGTGCTCATATTTACGGAGAGGCCAACAGTACTACTGATTTCCTATCCAAACAAAGTCACAGAAATGACATCAGTCAACACTACTACACTCACAACCAACTACCACATGTGGCAAGGGGTAGCTATATTCTCGAGAAGATGGGAGTTCAAAATTTCAGAAGGAAGAAGCTAAAAAAAAATTTAAAAACCCTTTCATCAATGCGACTTTATCTTAGTTAAGTATAGCCCTCTTGAATAGGTTCTCGCTGCTTTATTCTTTCCTTTGTAAGGGGAGAGTTTCCCTTATTTATGCTTTTCTAGAATCTTTGTATTGAGAGGAGTCCTCTCCCTAGGTGCATAGTTTTAGGTTTATCCTTTCTAGTATGGGGATGAGTTGACTAACCTTAGCAGGTAGGTCGACTTATGAACCACCATAGGATCGGAGGTTAGGTTTATCTCCCCCTCCATGCATTTTTTTGAGGTTTTTATTTTTGTTAAGGGCTGGGGGTGTTGCTAACCCCCTTACCCACCAAAGGGTCGTTCAAATAAAAAAAAATCCCAATACTATATCCTAAACTGAAAACCCTAAACCCTAACATAAACAATAAACCCTAAACCTTAAACCCTAAACCCAGTCCCAAAACCCTAAACCCTAAACCTTTAACCTAAACCCAAAATCCTAAACTCTAAATCCTAAACTTTTAACCTAAACCCTAAACCCTAAACCTAACCCTTGAATCCTAAACTCTATACCCTAAACCCTAATCCCTAAACCCGAATCCCCTAATCCCTAAACCCGAATCCCCTAATCCCTAAACCCGAATCCCTAATCCCCTAAACCCGAATCCCTAATCCCCTAAACCCGAATCCCCTAATCCCTAAACCCTTAACCCTTAACCCTTAACACTTAATGCTTAACCTAAACCCTAAACCTTAAAACCCAAACTCTAAACATTAAACCCTAACCCCTAAATCCTAAACTCTAAACCATAAATCCTAAATCCTAAACTAATAACCCAAACCCCAAAACCCTAAACTCTAAACCTAACCCTATATCCTAAACTCAAAATCCTAAACATTAACCCTAACCCTAAACCCTAAACCTTAAACCCATAACCTTTAATCCTAAACTCTAAACCCTAAATCCCAAGCACAAAACCCTAAACCTTAAAACCTAAACCCTAAACCCTAAATCAAACTCTAAACCTTAAACTCTAAAACAAAAGCCTAAACCCTAAAACCTAAACGCAAACTCTAAACCCTAAACTCTAAATCCTAAACTCTAATCCCTAAACCCTAAATCCTAAACCCTAAATCCTATATCCTAAACTCCAAACATTGAACCCTAACCCTAAACCCTAAACCCTTAATCCTAAATTCTAAACACTAAACCCAAACCTAAAGCCTAAACCCTAACCCTAACCTTTAAACCTAAACCCTCAACCTTAAACCCTAAACCTAAACACTAAACCTTAAAACCTAGACTTTAAACCCAAAACCCTATACCTTTAACCATAAACCTTAACCCTTAATCTCTAAACCCTAAACTTTACAACCTAAACCCTAAACCCTAAACCCTAAACCCTAAACCCGAAACCCTAAACCCTAAACCCTAAACCCTAAACCCTAAACCCTAAACCCTAAAATCTAAACCCTAAACCCTTTAACCTAAACCCTAAGCCCTAAACCCTTAACACTTAACCCTAAATTATAAACCCAAAATCCAAACTCTAAACCCTAAACCTTAAATCCTAAACATGATCTTCAAAGATATTTTCTACCTGCTCAATACCGTTTTTCCCTACATCAATTGGCCTGTACAGTGGACAGAAGTAGTAGACCTGATTGAGAGCTGCAAACATGACCTTAAACTTACTTCAGTGATATAGAAAATACCCCCCACCTAACAGAAATAAACTTATCACAGATGGTAGTGTTTTGCACAATCTGGAGAAGATTGGAGGGGGGAGGGGTATTCTACGGTATGAACAAGGAGAGATCATATATGCATTTGCTATAACTCTCGGTGAAGGGACCAATAATCAGGCAGAAATCCAAGTTGCCAGTTATGGTCTGAGTTGGTGCATTTAACATGGGTACAACAACATTATTCTAGAGGTGGACTAGGAGCTTTTAATTAGGTGGATATTGCCAACTTCTTCTCCCTCTTGGAGGATTCAAAGGTTTGTACAGGAGTTACAAAACCTTGTTAATCAATGTGAATTCTTTCAATGTGCTCATATTTACAGAGAGGCCAACAGTACTGCTGATTTCCTGTCCAAACAAAGTCACAGAAATGACATCATTCAACAGTACTACACTCACAACCAACTACCACATGTGGCAAGGGGTAGCTATATTCTCGAGAAGATGGGAGTTCAAAATTTCAGAAGGAAGAAGCTAAAAAGGATTTAGAAACCCCCTTGATCAATGCGACTATATCTTAGTTAAGTATACCCCTCTTGAATAGGTTCTCGCTGCTTTATTCTTTCCTTTGTAAGGGGAGAGTCTCCCTAATTTATGTTTTCCTAGAATCTTTGTATTGAGAGGAGTCCTCTCTCTAGGTGCATAGTTCTAGGTTTATCCTTTCTAGTATGGGAATGAGTTAACTAACCTTAGTAGCTAGGTCGACTTATGAACCACCATAGGATCGGAGGCTAGGTTTATGTCCCCCTCCATGTATTTTTTTGAGGTTTTTATGTATGTTAAGGCCTGGGGGTGTTGCTAAGCCCCTAACCCCCCAAGGGTCATTCAAATAAAAAATAAAAATAACCCAACCCTATATCCTAAACTCAAAACCCCAAAACCCTAACCCTAAACACTAAACCCTAAACCTTAAACCCTAAACCCTAAACCTTTAACCTAAACCCAAAATCAAAAACTCTAAATCCTAAACTTTTAACCTAAACCCTAAACCTAACCCATGAATCCTAAACTCTATACGCTAAACCCTAATCCCTAAAGTCGAATCCCTAATTCCTAAACCCTTAACCCTTAACCCTTAACACTTAAGGCTTAACCTAAACCCTAAACCATAAATCAAAACTCTAAATCCTAAACCCTAACCCCTAAATCCTAAACTTTAAACCATAAATCCTAAATCCTAAACTCATAACCCAAACCCCAAAACCTTAAACTTAAAACCTAACCCTATATCCTAAACTCAAAACCCTAAACATTAACCCTAACCCTAAACCCATAACCTTTAATCCTAAACTCTAAACCCTAAACCCTAAACCCTAACCTAAAGCCTAAACCCTAAATCCTAAGCACAAAAGCCTATACCCTCAAACCTAAACGCAAACTCTAAACCCTAAACTCTAAACCCTAAACACTAAATCCTAAACTCTAATCCCTAACCTTAAATCCAAACCCTAAATCCTATATCCTAAACTCCAAACACTAAACCCTAACCCTAAACCCTAAGACCTAAACCCTTAATCTTAAGTTCTAAACCCTAAACCCTAACCAAAGCCTAAACCCTAACCCTAACCTTTAAACCTAAACCCTCAACCCTTAACCCTAAACCTAAAAACTAAACCTTAAAACGTAGACTTTAAACCCAAAACCCTATACCTTTAACCATAAACCCTAAACACTAAACTTTACACCCTAAACCTAAACCCTAAACCCTAAACACTAAACCCTAAACTTTACACCCTAAATCCTAAACCCAAAACCCTAAACCCTTAAACCCTAAACTCTAAACCCTAAACCCTAAAACCTAAACCCTAAAAAACATTTAACCCTTAACCCTAAATTCTAAACTCTAAATCCAAACTCTAAACCCTAAACCTTTAAAATCCTATACTCTAAACCGTAAACCCTAAATCCTAAAATCATAACCCTAAACCTTAACCCCTAAACCCTAAACACTAAACCCAACCTTATATCCTTAACTCAAAACCCTAAACCATAACCCTAAACAATAAACCCTAAACCCTAAACCCTTAACCCAATTCCAAAACCCTAAACACTAAACCTTTAACCTAAACCTTCAATCCTAAACTCTAATCCCTAAACCCTCAATCCTAAACCCTAAATCATATATCCTAAACTCCAAACACTGAACCCTAACCATAAACACTAAGCCCTAAACCCTTAATCCTAAATTCTAAACCCTAAACACTAACCTAAAGCCTAAACCATAACCCTAACCTTTAAGCCTAAACCCTCAACCCTAAACCCTAAACCTAAATACTAAACCTTAAAACCTAGACTTTAAACCCAAAACCCTATACCTTTAATCATAAATCCTAAACCCTAATCTCTAAACCCTAAACATTACACCCCAAACCATAAATCCTAAACTNNCTAAACTCTAATCCCTAAACCCTAAATCCTAAACCCTAAACCCTAAACCCTAAACCCCAAACCCTAAACCCTAAACCTTTAAACCCTAAACTCTAAACCCTAAACCCTTTAATCTAAACCCTAAACCCTTAACACTTAACCCTAAATTCAAAACCCTAAATCCAAACCCTAAACCCTAAACCTTAAATACTAAATATGATCTTCAAAGATATTTTCTACCTGCTCAATATAGTTTTTCCCTACATCAATTGGCCTGTACAGTGGACAGAAGTAGTAGACCTGATTGAGAGCTGCAAACATGACTTTAAAGTTACTTCAGTGATATAGAAAGCACCCCATCCTAACAGATATAAACATAACACAGATGGTAGTGCTTTGCACAATCCAGGGATGATTAGAGGGGGGAAGGTATTCTATGGGATGAACAAGGAGAGATCATATATGCATTTGCTATACCTCTCGGTGAAGGGACCAATAATCAAGTAGAAATCCAAGCTGCCAGTTATGGTCTGAGTTGGTGCATTCAACATGGGTACAACAACATTATTCTAGAGGTGGACTCGGAGCTTTTAATTAGGTGGATATTGCTAACCTCTTCTCCCCCTTGGCGGATTCAAAGGTTTGTACAGGAGTTATAAAACCTTGTTAATCAATGTGAATTGTTTCAATGTGCTTATATATATACAGAGAGGCCAATAGTACTACTGATTTCCTATCCAAAAAAAGTCACAGAAATGACATCATTCAACACTACTACACTCATAACCAACTACCACATGTGGCAAGGGGTAGCTATATTCGCGAGAAGACGGGAGTTCAAAATTTCAGAAGGAAGAAGCTAAAAAAGATTTAAAAAAACCCTTGATCAATGCGACTATGTCTTAGTTAAGTATAGCCCTCTTGAATAGGTTCTCGCTGCTTTATTCTTTACTTTGTAAGGGGAGAGTCTCCATTATTTATGTTTTCCTAGAATCCTTTTATTGAGAGGAGTTCTCTCTCTAGGTGCATAGTTCTAGGTTTATCCTTTCTAGTATGGGGATGAGTTAACTAACCTTAGTAGCTAGGTCGACTTATGAACCACCATAGGATCGGAGGTTAGGTTTATGTCCCCCTCCATGTATTTTTTTGAGGTTTTTATTTATTATAAGGCCTGGGGTTGTTGCTAAGCCCCTGACCCCCCCAAGGGTCGTTCAAAGAATAATAAAAAAAACCCAACCCTATATGCTAAACTCAAAACCCTAAACCCTAACCCTAAACACTAAACCCTGAACCTTAAACCCTAAACCCAATCCCAAAACCCTAAACCCAAACCCAAAACCCTAAACCCTAAACTTTTAACCTAAAGCCTAAATTCTAAACTCTAAATCCTAAACTTTTAACCTAAACCCTAAACCCTAAACCTAACCCATGAATCCTAAACTCTATACCCTAAACCTTAATCCCTAAACCCGAATCCCTAATCCCTAAGCCCTTAACCCTTAACCCTTAACACTTAATGCTTAACCTAAACCCTAAACCCTAAATCCAAACTCTAAACCCTAAACCCTATCCCCTAAATCCTAAACTCTAAACCATAAATCAATTCTCTCAATCTCTTTCTCTGTCCTACCGTAGCCATGCCTCAGGGAGATTACATAGAGTTGCACAGGAAGAGATTTGGGCGTCGCCCTGACCACTTCGAGCGTAAACGTAAGAAGGATGCTCGTGAAGTTCACAAACGATCCCAAATTGCCCAAAAGGCTTTGGGTATCAAGGGTAAGATGTTTGCTAAGAAACGGTATGCTGAGAACGCCCAAATGAAGAAAACATTGGCTATGCATGATGAGTCATCATCCCGGTGCAAGGTTGATGATGATGTGCATGAGGGTGTTGTCCCTGCATATCTGATGGATCGTGAGACTACCACAAGAGATAAGATTCTTAGCAACACAATAAAGCAAAAGAGGAAAGAGAAAGCTGGAAAATTGGAGGTGCCTCTGCCTAAGGTTAGGCCTGTGGCTGAGGATGAGATGTTCAGAGTGATAAGATCTGGCAAAAGGAAGACCAAGCAGTGGAAGAGAATGGTTACAAAAGCCACAT